CTTAGCTACTAAGGCACTTCCATATAAAGTTTCAGCTAGGGTCGAGGTTAGTCTCCTAGGGGTAGCAGTGTAATCTATCAAATTCATCCACTAGGAGAGGGGGGGTCCTTAATAGGGGAGGACAAGACTAAAGAGGACATGTTGGAGGAGTCATGGATATGATAAGAAGATGGGTCCTGACTCATTACCATAAGGGGATAGTCCAAAGAGTCACCAACAGGTATGAGACTCAAGAAATGGGGTAAGGTATTCCTATAAGAAGTGGGCACAACAATTAGGGTGGTGACATTAAAGCATGGGCTAAGACTTTCTCTAACGTTGTTGTCGGTACGAGGAATGGAGAGATAAGTCCAATCAAGAAAGACACACTCGTTAAAATGTAACGCTAGATGAGTCACTCCTAAACTAGACTCCAATAAAACAAAAGGAGATTCATTACTCAAATTCGGCTCAAAAACTTTCAAACCCAAATCAGTATCTTCTGAACTCATAGTACTATGCTCAATAGAATCATGATAAATGGGTTTAGGGTCAATTAAATCGGGAATTAAGTGTCGTTGAACCACTTCCGACTCGATACTATTACCATCAAGATTCTCCAAAGTCAACTCAGTAGGTAATACGACTAAATCAGGATCTTCCGAATTTAAATTCAATGTGTCGAATGCCAGATTGGCTTCTTTCAAGATCATATTCCTATCGTCCAGGCATACTTTGTCCAAAGATTTATCATCGGTGAGACTAGGATCGGGGTGGGTTAAGGTGTCGACGTTTAAAGGTTCTAACTTTCCTAGCTCAGGGTTTAAGTCATTCTGGGAGTCTGATTCAATCACTTCTGTTTCATCCTCAAAGAATTCTTCGTCATTGGTGATATCACTAGCATCCACGAAATGGATGCACTCAGTCTCAGGTTCAGGGAATATCTTCTTCTTAATGTTTTCCTTTATTATAATCATACTTGCAGGGTCAAGGACTGGGGAGGCGAAAGGTTGACTGGGATGGCTAGAAGTAGGTCCAAGTGGGGAGTCATAAGAGATTGGTCTAACAAAAGACCTAGTAGAGGGTCGGCCATCAAGGTTAGGTGAAGACCTATAGGGTGGGGCAGCAACCCGGATGTTACTAATGGGTGGGTGGTCTTGACCACAGTAAGGTCCACGGGTTGTCCCAACGAAAGAGGTAGGGTTATGCTCTAGATGACGGTCACTAGTAGAGGGTCGGTATTTTAAATTAAGATCTCTCCTCATGTCATTCCAAGTAGTGTACTCACCGCGAGACTCTTTATGGTCTTCCAATCTTGCCCAAAATTGAAGAGCTCGACCTTTAAGGTGAGACTTAGCGATGCTAACCTAGTGGGACTCAGGGATATGACACGATTCAAAATAATCTTCTATTTGTCTAACTCATTCCCTAAAGTAGTAAATGTCCAAAGAACCATCAAAGGTAGGCAGACGATAAGGTGACTCTAAGTGAGGTCGTGGAGGCCTAGGTTCAGGTCTCAGGTGATAAGCTGAGTGGGGCATGTAGGTAGAGTGGGGATAGTCAACGGGTTTCTCCGTCATAATTCTAGTCATATTGCCCACTAGATTAACGATGTCATTTAAAATCTTTTGGAGTCTTATCGGGTCCATTAGGAAGCGTCAAATGACACTCAAAGATGATTAGGTGTAAGGGATGTCATTTAGACACTAAGTTAGGCTCACTTAGACTCACTACAGGGGGCAAAGGTTGCAGGAAATAATAGGGCAGCAAGCTAAAAGATGGACAAAGTTATCTAAGCTATTTGGGCGGACTATGGAGTGCGGACAGCAAGTGACTACTACCTAAAACTCGCCCAAAAGGTTACTAATATGCGCAGGAATTAAGTGGACAGCAACTTAACAATGGTCTTAGGTCACCTAAATGTCACTAAACGGTGCAGGAAACTTCTGGACAGCACACTACAATGCTGAAATAATTGCGTTAAGTGTTGGGTTAGGTGTCTAGAGTGTGAACAGCACTTAAGTACATGAAAAGATAACCTAAAACCCACTAAATGCGTGCAGGAATTGTAAATACAGCAGTGAAAAACAGTGAATAAGCTTAGATATGCGATGATATGCATGCAAAAATTAAACTATAACATAAGGTTAGACCCTAGGATGTTTTTCTAACATGTCATGCATGCCTACCATGCTCTGATACCAAACTGATGTGAAACGTAAATGCCATGTACTTGCTTAGGTGGCAAGATTAATTAAATCCCAAATCAATTTGGGGAGAGAGAATGTAAATCTGATATTAAATTTCAGATTAAGTGGAATTGGCGGGATGAATTTGAATTTAAATTCAAATTTAATGTGGAGAATTAAATTGGATGAGAGGAAATTGTGGGAGGTAATTATGGAGGCTTAATGAGGGAGCCTATTAATGAGATAGGTGAGAGATTATGCCCAATGAGGAGGCCGACCACATAGAGAGGGAGGAGATTATTTGTCATAAGTAGAGTGGGGCCCACATTACTAATCAAAGATTCAATAAAATCTGAATTAAAATTCAGATTTTGAAAGAAAGGAAAATTTTCAATAATAGGGCTATCAATTAGAATTAATTGGAATTTCAAATTCAAATTCACATCCAATTAATATGAAAGCCTTAAATCAATGAACTATTTTAGGAAAGTCTTCAATGCCTCTTGAAAACAAATTTGAATTTCATATTTGAAATTCCCAAGAGGGAGGCTGATGGCTTGGTCGTCCCAAGGAGGTCGGCGGAGCCGACGGTGGTGGGATTGGCCTGGGATGGCTGGCGGTGGACTTATGGGGGCCGGTGGAGGGGATTTGGGAGGATGAGAGTTTGGTTAGGTTGAGAAGAAATAAATTGGGTTTAGGAAAAAGAAAATCCGGAGCTACACACCTCGAGCAACACCTCCAATAGAACTCACAAAGAGATCTACAAGAGCCACTTCCTCAAGAACTCACAAAGAGATCCTGGGAATTTCGGAACTCACAAAGAGATCCTTCATCCTCTACTAAGCACAGTCAAGCTTATACAAAATTGTGAAGCAATTCATGAAGTTGACGAAGGCTTAGGCTTCGTTAGGGATTAGCTTTTTTACTGCTTAATAAAGCAACTTTTCAATACAAAATTTCCAATTTTTTAACTAGAAATTTGCTTTAAGAAACATAAAGAAAGCCGTCCCAAACTAAGCCTTAGTGAGATACAAGGTTAAGCATGAAACAAGTTAATATGAGAATGATTACTCATTTATCCTCTACTAAGCACAGTCAAGCTTACACAAAATTGTGAAGCAATTCATGAAGTTGATGAAGGCTTAGGCTTCGTTAGGGACAGCTTTTTTACTGCTTAATAAAGCAACTTTTCAATACAAAATTTCTAATTTTTGTACTAGAAATTTGCTTTAAGAAACATAAAGAAAGCCGTCCCAAACTAAGCCTTAGTGTTTACCTATCCTTGCAAGCCGATTCACCCATTTTGGAATAGAATTTCCAGTCAACTTGTAGCAGACGTCCTTACAGAAATGGTTGCAGTTCTTAATAATTAAATGATATGTATCCCCATTGTAGTTTGTAGAATGATGTTCCATAAACTCTCTGACCTGAATTGGATCGAGACAAGTCGTACCCATGAATATAGACTTCCTAAATCTGAAGCCTGGGCATTGCTTAGGCTCAACCTCAAAAACTCCGCTTGTTGCATAGTCGTGCGCCCCAAATGCATACTCCACACCATAAACTGAAAGCATGTAATTGTAGCATTATAAAACTTTAGAATATCCTTTTAGATATTAATGTAAGTGTGGAGTTCAAGTTTATATGCAAATGACGTCATGATTTAGAATTCAATGTACAAAGCACTCTCAAGGACAAATCATAATGATCTAGATATATACAAACTAGTAAAGTTAGACAAGTATCTCAAAAAAAAAAAAAAAAAAAGATTAACCATAAAATTCATCTCTATTAAAGTTTCTATATTAGTTGCAAAAACCCAATTAGGAAATTTTCAATTAGTAATTGATGAGGTATGGCTAAGTATACATGAGAGTGAAAATTAGTCTTAGATCGGATAGTCGAAAAATATGTTAGCATAAAAATAATAAAAGGTTCGCTTTCAGCCATAAACTTAAACTTCTGGGTTAAAAATGAGTTTTCACAGATGGTGTATCAAAGTCCAACTTAGTGTATGTTACTTGACAATATTAAAAAACTTTAGTTTAAGAGGAAATGATGGACAAATTGGAGGACTCTCATGTGAAGGGGGTAAGGATTGTTAACATGTGAAAGAAGAAAGCTAGTTCTACGACTGATAATCAAAAATATGTTGGTATAGAAATAACAAGCGTTTACTTATCTCATAGGTTTAAATATTTGGACTAAAAATGAGTTTGATCACTAGTATATGAGGGCCATGTTTGAACCTCTTTGATTTAAACTCCTCAACATACATATCACAAGGTCAATGTGTTTCGAACTTAGATTACAACTATGAAATTCATAACAGTTGGTGAAATGCTACGTTAAAGAGAGTTTTACTTTCATTGATGTTTGCTCCTTACTGGATTGAATATATATCTGCTAAAATGTTTATTTAATTTTAAGCATTAGCTTTACTTTAGGTTAAAAAAGAAAAAAGAAAAAAACTTTTTGCACGGTTTAATTCTAATTAAATCTAACTTGAATAAAGAATAATCAAGTATCAATCAAAGAATAAACTATTGAACATGTACTTTATGAAATGAATGAAAATATTAATTAATAATAAAGGAAAGAATATATTAAATATATTTGGTGCAGGAGATGTATTTTTTTCTCAGATTAATTTTTAAGAATATATCCTAGAAGGAAAATCACCATTATCCTCCAAATTAAATTTTGATATTACCATCTTCAAATGCAACATCAAAATAATTCAATCTCTTTAACATCTTTAAAGCTATAGTGGCATGCACAATTTCAAGGATTTTTAAGATTATTTGATCATGAGTCATAAACATCAAACCTATCAGGCTTTCATAATGGATGACTCTCATTGCATTATAAGATAATTATGAATTCAAAGTGTAAAGAATTTTAAGTGACTTGGAATCAAATACATAGATTCTTCAAAATATTTTGCACGTATTAAATAATTTTGATTAGTACAATACATAGAAATATTGAAACTTCAAAAAAAAACTTCTCTACATCCTCAAGGATCCTTGTATTTTTTATATACTTGATAAATATTTAAATATACACAAACATTGATGAAACTCAATTACCATATAATTCTTATATTGTAGATCATAATCAGTAGCATGATATTAAATTTGAATAATCATTAGCAATCTAGAAGGAGAATCTCTCTCTCTCTCTCTCTCTCTCTCTCTCTCTCTCTCTCTCTATAAATATTTTTTATATACCTCAAGGATCCTTGTATTTTTTTATATACTTGATAAATATTTTGCACGTAGCATGATATTAAAACGGGATGCTTTTCAATCTGCTAGATTGTTGTCATCTTCCTCGTGGTGTCCCCCCCCCCTCTTGGATGGTGGAAGATCAATTTGGATGGTGCGCTCAGAAGGTCGAATGATGGGGGAATTGGCATTGTCGTTCGGGATGATAAAGGTCTCCTCCTTTCGGCGGCAGGTTGGGGGATTTCTCACTGGGATAGCACTCAAGTGGAGTTGCTGGCGTTTCGGTACATTAACGAGTTAGTTCTCGACTGGATGAATGATGTGGAGGGGGGTTATTGTAGAGGGTGATAATGCCAGTGTTATCCAGTTCATGCAAGACTACAAAGAGAGGGAGCGGTGGAAGACTCAGCAAACTGATTGTTTAGACTTTGAATGCAAAAAAGTTTTGTTTTTACATACCAACCGGCGTTTTAACTCGGCGGCCCATTTTTGTGCACAGAAGGCCATCGAGCTCTCTTTTTTTTGGAGGGGAGGGGATAGTTCTAATGTACCGATTCCTAAGGATTTTTTGAATATCCTTGAGGAGGATAGGAGGGGTTTTTTGGTAGAAAGGCCGCTTGGCCGTTAGTTTCTCTTTTTGGTTTCTTTACTTCTTTTTGTATGGCTCCTTTGGTTTTATGAATGCAAATGCAAAGTTCAGCTCTCTCTCTCTCTCTCTCTCTCTCTCTCTCTCTCTCTCTCTCTCTCTCTTCTAAATTAATTAATATAATAGAAAGGGAGTATTTGGCGAAGCTAATAGAGATTTGGAAATAGATAGGATGAGAGAAATGATGGAGAGACCTAAAGACAAATAATTGTTTAAAAACATCTTTTTATATGAATAAATTAGAAAGATACTTATAAGAGGTTAAAATTTTGTAATTTGATAACTTGGTTTATATCATGGCATTTTTGCTCAGCTAAAAGAATGTGAAAGGCAAGCCTCAAGCGCCCAAGGTGATGATGCAGCCGGTAAGGTCGTATGCCCCACAGTCTAAACATCTCTTTTAAGTAACCTTGGGAAATTTTACCACGCTCACCCCAAGGCAAGTCCCAAAAATGCCTTAAAAAATACTTTAACTCAATTAGTTACAAAATGTCAAGATATCATACATGGCTATAATCATATATAGAAAATAATTATCAAACTGCATACTGCAATTGGTTTCTACAAAAGACACAAATTTATTCAAGAGGACATATAACTTTATTCCCGAAGTCATGATAGAGTAGCAACTAGAAATCTAAAACTGTTTATCTGAGAGAAGGTTGTTTTTTAGAAAACATGGCATCATTCCTCTTCTTTCTTTTCAAATATCTTTCTTTTCACATAGGCAACATAGAGGAATGAAAAGAACATGAGCATGAGCAAACAATAGGAAAATATGGATTACTACTCTATGTTATATCCCGACCCGGACAGGTTCAGTCCGGGATTTCTCCCGCTCATGCAAGCCGGCCGTCCCCCTCTTGCTCCTCCTTCGTCCCTTTGCACACGAGCAACTTAAGCGGCTCCCAATAGCGGTTTTCTCCCTCCAATCGTACAAATCACACAAGTTCTTCGTCGTTTTGAAATTTTCCCACTCCTGCCAACATCTCTCTCTCTCTCCAATTTAACCCAATAGATAACTTAGGGCATCACTTTCACTTCTTTTCTCCCTCTCTAAGCCACCGAAAACTCCTTCCTCTTCCTTCTTCGTTTCTTCCTCACAATAGCAGCTCTCGACGAACTAGTCTGAAACTCTTCCCTTTGCACAATGAGTTTTCCTCTTTCCTTCCCTCTTTCTCCTCATGTTTCTAATAATTATGAAAAAGTTCTTTCAATATCTATTTCAAGGCTAAATTTTATTTATATTATTTTTTCGCATAGCTTTAAATTTCTTAATAAGAGTTTTTGCATTGCTTTGAGATGAAGTTTTATCTAAGTTTAATGTTCTACTTAACCAAACCCTAGGTTATCTAAGTACTCGATGTCAGCTTCTTGGACGACAAAAAGGTGGTGGTCATCTTGCACGAACCTTCTGAGCTGCTGCCCTCAATCTCTCTCTCCAGGTACCTCTGATCCTCTAGTAGTTGAGCTAGGTCTATAACCTCTCCCAAATCAAGAGGCCTCATCACTCTAACTGTCGCCCGAATATCTGGTTTAAGCTCTTTCATAAAGTTTCAATTCAGTACAACCTCCGGAAGCCGATCAAGTTGGTTGGCCAAGTGCTCAAATAGCTCACAATACTCCACAATTGTCCTCTCTTGCATCAGGGTAAAGAACTGCTCACAGAAGTTTAACCCCTGCTGGTTCCAAAAAGTTCCAACAAGCAATCCTTAAACTCCCTCCAGGTTCGTATGGGCCGGCTCGTGTCCCTCCATTGGTACCATGCTAGAGATCTTCCCTCCAAGCAGATCTCGACTGTCATCGATCTTTCCTACTCTGTCAACCTATTGATGGTAAAGTACATTTCCAACTTGTAGATCCACTCATGGGTATCATCTCCTTCAAAAATAGACATCTTCAACTTCCTCACCCTCAGATCTCCTTCGACACCCCCTCTTCCACCAACATTTCCTATACCCCAAGAGGGGTGATACCCCAAGGGGGGCGGTTCCACCCAATTGTGACAATCATCCATTTTCCGCTTGTATCCAAACCTTTCATCACAAGCTCACCTTCTCCCTTCAAATTCAGCACCACTTCAATCATCCTCCTTTCAAATTCGACACCCCTCGATCATAATCAAGCCCTCACCTTTCAAATTCAACCCCTTTCCTTTCAAATTCAACACCCCTCTGCTCATGCCCAACCCCCTCACGGCTCTCCATATACTCTCTACTCGACTCCTTCATAAGCATAAGTTCTAAGGGAGGCATTTTTTATGCTACCTCCAAAATCTCCACCTCCTGATCTTCACTTCGCCTTATTGGCTGGATTTCCCCAATTCCTTAGCTGTCGGCGGCTTCCCTCACCTCAGTCGGAGATATTTTGATTTGGCCCTTGAGCAATTTCTTCAACATCTCTTCCACGATGAAAATTTTTCCATCGATCTTCTTGTGGACGGCCGCAACTTGACTTTTGCAATCTGAAATTTGGGTTTGGAGATTTGAAATTTCAGATTTCATTTGTTCAATCTCCCCCTCCAACGCTTCTACCTCTCTTCCTTCCATAGGAAACAAAAATGGCCAAACAACAACGGATTTGGCGATCAAGCTGCCAAATTCAGCAATACGAAGGGGAAAACACAGTAGAAATCAGCAAGGAAGTCCTATATTTCTACCTAGGACAACGCTCTGATACCAATTTGATATGAAGTAGTTGTAGAAATTCAATACCTCTTGGCTGAAATTGAATTTCAACAATCCAAATACAATCTCCAATGTAGAAAGATAACAGAAGAAAACTCTCTTCAATTGATGGAATAGGGAAGAAAAGGAATAAGATACAATGAATCCCCAATTGGAGAGGAGGATATGGCTCTCCCAAATCTCTAGCCGGCGGCTAGAGCTCAAAACTCCCTAAGAACACTCTAAATTTCAGCAAACACAAGATAAAACCTAACCCTAAGTTAAATAATATATTTAAAGCATACAAAAATATAGTAAATGCCAAAACAGCCCTCATAATTTGAATTTCCCTCCTAATCCCCTCTTTAAGTTCCTCTTAATTATTGGCCTTAAATGCTGCTTGGCTGTTGGGCCTCACCTCAATTAAACAGACGTTTGCACCGCCTAAATAGGCGAAAGCATATTCAGCTAAACAGCCGGAAGCCTGTTCCGCATCTAACATATTTCTATATTTTGAAGTACTTCGAAATAACAGGTTGAAATTGCGAAAATTTAAATTTTGGCCAACTTTATAACTTGTTTTGATCGACTTGGAGTTCTTAAATATGATATCTAATGCAATTTCCAACTTAGCAATCTTGGTTTGAAAGATTGGATTTTAATTTACTTGTAACAAAACAAGCTATTTATATTACAGAAAGCATGCCCAATTCATATGTATTAAATTGCTGTCGTAACAATACCACTATGCCATAAACTTGAGTAAACAGTGGTTGGGTTTGCCACAACCAAGGAAACACGGCATGCATCAATCCATCTTTAACAGTGGCTGGGTTGGCCAACTTTACACCATTGAGCAAACATTGCCAACCATCACCAAAGCATCAGGCATTGACTACTACTAATTGTTGGCGACTACCAGCTGTATGTCATTTGTTGACACCATAACCTAATTTAGGGGCTCATTGCATATTTGATGAAGTTTAAGAGAGGAATAAAAATATTCCTTAGATGGTGGTAGTTTTGAGCCATGGATGTTCTTACTAGACATTTGCAAGAAAATGTACACTGAAGTATTCTTTTTGCTGATAATATTCTTCTTGATGATAAGACTAGAAAGGGAACTTAAGGTAGACTTAAATTATGGTTTTCGTTTGAATAGATCTAAAACCAAATACATGAAGTGTAATTTTAGTAAATAATAAATCTAGTGGGGGGATTGTGACTTTGGGCTATCAAGTCATTAATAAGAGTACACATTTTTGATATATCGGGTATATTGTTCATAGTGATGATGAAATAGATGGAGATATTATTAGTAGAATTCCAAGTTGAATGGTTGATGTGGAGGGATGCATCAGGCCTATTGTGTGATAGAAAAGTATCCCTCAAATTTAAGGGAAAATTATACAAGATAGTGGTGAGACCTGCAATGCTTTATGACATAGAATGCTGGCCATTAAAAAAGAAGCATAAAATTTAGTTAAGTTTTGTAGAGATGAGGATGCTCAGGTGGTGAGTGATTTTACTCTTAGAGACAATATGCGAAACGAGCATATACGTGAAAAAGTTGGACTAGCTCCAGTGGCAGATAAGATTAGAGAGAGTCGCCTCATATGGTTTAGTCAAATAAAATGTCAGCCTTCCGATGACCAAGTTATGAAAGTAGATGTATTAGATTTGGCTTATGTTAAGAAAGGTAAAAGTAGACCTAAAAACACTTGGTTAGAAAATATTAGAATTGACTTTTTTATTATATTTAAATGAGAATTTGACTTTTAGCATGACAGAATGAAGAAAAATGATTCATACATCCAACCCCACGGAGTGGGATAAAGGCTAGATATTATTATTGTTGTTGTTATTGTAAGGTGGTAGTTTTGAACAAGTTAATAATATTGATGGGTTTTGCTGCATTCCTAAGAATCGGCAGCTATATAAGTAATTCAATTAATTGCAGTGGTATATCAGTAGAAATCCTTAGAGAATACTCATTCAAATGAACATTTAGTAACTACACAATCTATTAGTGTTGCAGAATAAATGTAACAATGAAATTGTATCTTTCTGTCTTGTACCATGTTGTAGAAGAGATTGCTTTAAATATAACAACATTTTAGTTCAAGAGCCACAAAAAAACGAAAGAGAAAAACAAAGTATCATCATATATGCAAGCCATGTGGTAGTAGTATCTTCTCAAATAGAACCCAAATGATAACACAAGGAGCAATACCTTCAACCCCAGAGTGGAATATGCCAAGGCCTGCCCAATAAACATAACCATTCAAGGGAGTCAAGTCATACACGTTTAGATAAACAGGTGCATTTCCTGATGTTTGACCAGCTGACCGAACTTTGGGGAACAAAGAAAAGCGTACTGCAGATTTCCTTCCCACCCGAAATGACATGAGAGAACTCCAACCGTTTTTTGAACCTGACTTCATAATTCTTCAAATGATAAAGAAAATTCTCAAATTTTGTTTTCATTAAAATACACCTAGCAGGCTAACAAGCATAAAATGAAGGACAGGTTGCTCTCCAGAATGAGGAATCACCATAGAAAACAGTAGAAGAATGAATTTATCTTGCCTACTAGGTTATCACATTACAATTATTTAATAAGATACTGAAATCACAAAACTGACTGGAGTGAAAAGCTTCAAGCAAAGATTCAACATACTTTCTAGACCCACAACAGGATATGAAGAATCAGTCTTCAAGTGACAATGACTACTATATATCTGCATAGAGATACAAAAATAGACAGAAAACAACTAAGGAGCTGTTTGGTTAAGTGTCATGTAGCTATCGCTATTATTCTAATATCAGAATTATTACCATGTCAATATTATCTATCAAATATTATATGATAGACTCAAAGGTATCCCGCCAAACGTTTTTCAAATAGCCTAGCATTAAGTTTCACCCAATAACAAAACAAAAGGACTGAGGTGCCATTTAAGTCTTCATTTGGGACGGCTTTTTTGTTGCTTCTTAAAGCAGCTTTTAAGTACAAAAATTAAAAATTTTATACTAGAAAGCTGCTTTAAGAAGCAACAAAAAAATCGTCTCAAACGAAGCCGAAGTTTTATAATTAAAAGTTATTAGCAAACCAAACAAAGACATCTAAAACATATCATGACATAGAAAATATCAGCCAATCAAACAGAGTCAAACTTATAATCAGCACAACTTTAGACTTCTGAGCAACTGTTCAAACCATTAAATAAACTTTGTAATTTCCGAAGTGATTGTCTTCAGGGAATCAAATACCCTTCTTCATCATCTAATAAGAAAGGAATTTAAAATTTTTTTGAACAAAAAAAAAAAAAGGAAAGACCGGTCATTGAGATCACTCCAAGCATGACCCATATTTGAAAAGAGAAACCCTACACAAAAGTCAGATAACTGTAAGGGCTCATTCTGTTTTTTGTAGATGGAAAAATATGTTTTTGGGGCTGTTTGGCTATAAATAAGATCTAGTATTAAATTCAGATTTAGTAAAGCTTAAAAGGAATAAAATATGAAAATTACATGGCAATTGTTAAATCCTGCTAAATCCGAACAAACTATTTGACTATTTATTTCAGGATTTAAAATTTGTGAGAGGAGAAAAACTTAAATTCATTAAATCCAATAAATGGTGGGATTAAACAAATCCTAAATTTAACCAATAATGGAATTGAAAAGATATTTATCAAAACACAAAAATCTTAAAGTTAAATCTTACCTAAATCCAGCCAATAATAAAATACCAAACAGCTCCTTCGAAAGTGATGATTCTGTGTTCACTCATTTTGGGCGTGAAAATCGCCAGTTGTTACAGATTTTTAAGACGTTTGAACAGTTAAAAATCCATAATGATTCCTAAATACATCCATCCAAACAAGGGAATCCAGTTAACTCAGTGTTTTTCTGACTTCAAGCAACCAATGAGGCTAAAAAAAAAGCTCTATCATGAACTGTTTTGAAAGATCATGCACCGACCTTCAAACCTACATTTCCACTAAAATGCACAAGCAACAGAAGAACAAACCCTTACCTGCACAATTTAATGAAGCAATACCACAGTTTTTTTAGCAGAAATCTTCAACTTCCCAAAATGATAACTAACCCACTATTCACAAATAAACTTAAACAGAAAAAGAAAGAAAAAACTAAAGAGCAAAACACGGGTAACAAAGCACCCAACGCCAACCAACTCTCCCAATTGCCACTAGATCCAGCTCAAAAAGCAGCTTCTAGAACTTCACAATCACAATAAAAACCAACAAATCACGAGAAAACCCTAAAAGAAACTGAACCGGCGAAAGAGAACACAAAAGCAAGGAAACTCACTTACCCGCCCGGAAAACCACTTCACTCTGAAAGAAAACCACCTCAATGTGAAAGAAAACCACTTTCCCCCACTTGCCAAACCACCATTGCTGCGGCCGGCCCCGCTCAGCAGCAACCGAACCTCCTAGAACATGAAGCGAACCACTCAACTGGACGAAATCCAGCGTCCCGGGAGGAAATTATTAGGAGAGACAGAGCGAGATTTCTGGAGATTTGTCGTGGAACAAGAACAGATGCTCTTCGTGTAAGTGCCTTGGCATTGACTGCCATCACCCCCAAGTGATATTCAAATCCTACACAACAGCTATCTATAGTAAAGGTAATCGAACTGATCAAATTATTTGACTTGCATTAAGTGTAGCATGAAACTAAAATTGCAACGTAGGATCGTGTCCATCCAACGGCTATGGTCCGTTTATATATTCTTTTCTTACAGCTGCCGTGTATATAAATATAGCTATCTTAAGAATATATATCCTAAATTCAATTTATTTCAGGTGTCTTTCAAATGATTAGATCATATAGGTGTCCAAACTAAAACATACATATACAAGTGATAAACACGATATATATTTGACAAAGAAAACAAAGGTAAGTTAATTAAAAACTCAAATCATTCATAAAATGCAATAACTAGTACATCCAAATAATAATAATTGTGATACAAGCTAAAAGGAATATAAATATAACAAAAAAGCAGGAAAGAAGCTATCTTACTTTCAAAATCAAGAAAAATTATTCCGTCAGGTTATCTGACGTAAAGATACATCAGGTAGCCTATAATACGTCGCCACGAGCACTTATTCTTTACCGTGCGGCCCGACGACCCGACTCGGACCGAATCCGGGATTACTATGTTCGCGTATTGCTCGGTATTTGCTCGGTATTGCTAGGTATTACTCGGTATTGCTTGGCAATAACGATAAATATCGTTCTGTAAAGACCAATACCGAGCAATACCGAGTAATACCTAAAAGAATTCGGTATTAATACCGAGTAATACCTAAAAGAACTCGGTATTGGTCTTCACAGAATAGTATTTTTCATTTTTGTCGAGCAAAATGGATCAATACCGAGCTACGCCAACTCCCGGGTCTGCTCTGGGTCGGGTCGTCGGGTCGCGCGGTAAAGAGTAAGTGCACGTGGCGACGTATTATAGGCTACCTGATGTATCTCTACGTCAGGTAACCTGACGGAATAATTTTTCCAAAATCAAAAGCGTAATAAACTACTACAAAATAATAATAAAAAAAAAAAACAGTCTACTACTGGTAACTCTGCTCTTAAAGTGATGGTATATTAAACACAACTACATGACCTACTATAAAAAGAGGCAACATGTGGGTTTGATAAATCAAACTCATCAACAACAAAAACTCCTATTTATCAAAGCATAAACAACAAAGGAGTGGGGTGTGCAATATGAAATTATGAATTACCTAAGGGAACGAAATAACAACCTATAGCCACCAAATCAAAATAGTAATGACACATGTTATGTTTCTTACACCAAAATTCTAATATGTCAATGCTATTAATATATATGACAATCTACTATTAATACAAATCATTTTAATGTTCATAAATGCAATCATACTAGGTTTCCTTGTATCTTAGATGACTTATCAATCATTTATCATTTTCAATTCATGTCCAATTATATTTTCATATATATATATATATATATATATATATATCCAATTATATTTTCATATAATATATATATATATATATATATATATATAATATATATATATATATATATATCACATACCTTTCACTGAGAAGATAAACAGCAACCCCTGGAAACCTAATGCTTTCTTATGGAGTCCCCAATAGGGTTCGGTTATATACATAATTATATTGTGCAAATGCTTTTATATATGACTAACATGAATTATTTAAATTAACATGAAAATAACAAATTATATAGCCAAAATGATTTACATAAGGAGCACCATTATTACATTAGACAACACTGATATGCATAAATTGGATTCTCAAATTGCTGAATTATTTAAATGATAACTCTGCATTACTTAATAAGGCATCATTATTTCTATCACATGAAACTTTCAACATAAGCAACAATTAAATTTCTAACATGTATAATGCTAATGTCTCACCATGTGAAGTCCAATATTAATATTCTGGAATAAATTCTCTATGATATTGTTCAACATTAATTTCATCTGGTGTAAGATAGGCTTTCTTTTTATGTTTGGAATATGGATAACAAAACCTTCCCTTCGATATAAAGGTAATCAATAGACTGCCTTGATGAAAATTTTCATTTTGTTCAAGAATTCATTTGTTAACATCTTGTGTCCTAACAATTGTTTGGTTATACATCAAATATTTATGATTTCAAGCATCCATAGCACACTTCGGCTATAAATTCTTACGACCAAACAATGACATTTGTATCAATTAATGTTATTTATATATATCATGAGATCTTATGGTTTCTTTCTCTAATAAAGGAAGCGCCGCTCTTGTGTTCTAGGGTTTTTTCTCTGCCCGTCTTCTCGTGCCTCCCCTGTTCTAGGTACGAGATATGTTTGCTTGTTTCACCTGGTGTATTTTCGAGTGTCTGGCCCTTTCGGGCCATGCTGCGATGGCGGGGGAGGCATCCTCTACGCTTGGGGTAATGTCTCTTCTAAAAGTCAAGACAAAACAAAGGCTTTTTCAACATTGATGCAGATGCTGCTTCTCCCTCTAAATCTAGATCTTTTAAAGATGTTCTAGCTGGATCGGCAGGTGATACCTTATCTTCTCTTACTCCTTCGACTTTTAACGCGTGCCTGCTGTTTTAATTTCTAATAATGAGGTTTTGAAGTTGGCTTCTCCCTTTTGTCTTACCCTTGTTGGTAAGTTTGGTGTTAGACGCCCAAATCTTGATGCGATTAGAACTTTTTTCGATAATCTTAAGCTCTCGGTGTTTACTCCGTTGGTCTTTTGGATTCAAAACATGTGGCTATTCAACTATCGAACGATTTGGATTATAGTCGGGTTTTTGTGCCGAGATCTTATTTCATTTTGAACTGTCAAATGCGTGTGTTAAATGGACTTCATTTTTTGATGTTAAGGAGGCATCTCCAATAGTCCCTATCTGGATCTCTTTTCCTAACCTCAGACTTCATTTTTCAACCCTAAGGTTTTGCATGCGCTTGGTTCGATTTTTGGTAGCCCTACAAACCGATCAAGCCTCTGCTTCTTGAACAAGACCGTCGGTTGCACGGGTTTAGTTGAAGTGGATATTACTAAGAAGCATGCGAAAGAGGTCTGGGTGGGATCAAAAGCTTTAGGGTATTTGCAAAAAGTTGAATTTGAAAAAATCCCTGATTTCTGTAATCATTGTAAAGCTCATGGTTATTCGGTGTCTGATTGTTTTAAAACTTCACCCGGAGCTTAAGAAAGTTTCCAACAACTCCAATGGATTGGTGGAAAATAAGGATCCTGTAACTAAAAATCCTCAGAGTGCCACCCCTGTACGAATGTTGAAAACCAATCCAATGTTGAGACGGTTGGAAATGAGTCGTTAAATGATCCTGAAAACTTGTTGAACTCTAATAGCACTCCTGTGAAAACCTTGCCTGTTAATGATAACATGAGTAATGAAATTGGAAATATACCTGACATTTTTATATCTGTGGAGTCTATGCTTAACTCTAACTCCCCTGTAATGGGGTTAACCTGACAATTCTGATCATGAACCGGCAGATGATTGTGATGAAGGGGAATACATTCCGGGGCATATTTCTACTAATTCGTTGGCTAAAAGTGATAATAATGTTAGTGGTTGAAGGTGATTCTTCTGCTAAAGTGATGGAAGAAAAAAATTCAGAGGAAGAATGGCTCTCTAAAACTCAAAAGAAAAAAAGAAGAATGTCAAAGTCACCCTACCAGATACCCCTCGTTCTACTAGGGCCCAAACTAATTCAAAAGGTTCTAATGATTAAAGCTCTTATCTGGAATGTGAGGGGGATTGGTGGGTCTGACTCTAAGACCCGTGTTAGAAATTTATGTCGTGTTCACAACATTTCCTTTTTAGTTCTTATTTGAACTTTTTATTTCTTCTGATAAAATTACTGCTACTGCTTCTGCTCTAGATTTTCCTTGTAGTTTTTCTAACACTTCCAATAAAATTTGGATCATGTGGAAAAGGATTTAAAGATTACTGTTATTTCTGATTTTTTTCAAGTGGTTAATGTCCAAATTTCTTATAATCACTTTATCTTTAGTGCTTCTTTTGTTTATGCCGCCTCTACTAGAATTGGCCATGTCCCTCTTTGGATTACTTAACTGACTTGCCCATAATATTGCTGGCCCTTGGTGTGTTGGGGGAGATTTTAATATCATCTCCAATGCTAGTGAAAGAAGAGGTGGTAACCCTCCTAATTTGAATGCCATCGATGACTTTAATCATATGATTTCTTCTTGCAATTTAACTGATATTGGTTTTTATGGTAGCTCTTTTACTTGGAGTAGAAATAATCTGTGGCAACGTCTTGATAGCTTCTTTTTAATAATGATTGGATTGGCAAATTTAATATGACTCATGTTCAGCATTTGAGTAGAACTCTTTCGGACCATGCTCCCTTGCTCCTTATATATTTCTGATAGTAAGTTGAGGGGGACCTTTGGCTTTCAGATTTCAAAATATGTGGATTATATCATGCT